GGGGTGGGGTTGGGGGTGGGGTTGGGGGTGGGGTGAGGAATTTATTCTTTTTTGTGCGTTTAAATCAAACTACGCTACTCAAATGTCTTTCAACGTGTGTCCTTTAACCGAATTGACCACCCATCGAGGTCTAGAGAGTTTTGATTAAATAGAAGTTATTTACTTGCTTAAGTAATCATACATCTTCCTAAATACAGTTTTGCCTTCTGGAAAATTTATTTACTTATTTATTTCAAATGGCAGGAGTTTTGATAGTTATTATTAGCTCTTTAGTTGACTTCAGGCTTCACAGAGGGGAGGAGGAACATCAAAGTGAGAAAAAGTTGAGAGTGGAGGGGGACAGAAGAGTGTTTCAAGGATGAAAAGAGACAGACACAAGGATAGAAAAAAGGTGATGTGAGTACTGTGAAGTGGTCGAATATGACATCCAGTGGGGGGGGGGGGTCATGGTAGTTTGAGTCAGAAGTAAACTTCCGGTTTGCAGACTTTTTATCGTATGAATATACTTTTCCCAGGGTGCACTACGTGGAGGTAAGTCTTTCGCTCATACCTTCTTGAAATCCAAAAAAATGGGAAAAATTGTGTACAAGGGAAAGTAGGAAAACAGTTTGCTCCCTTCTCACCTAAAATTGAAGAAGTTGCTACTGATAAGTTCGCCTTTTGGTTAAATTTACACTTCCCTAGCCTCAAAACTGACATATTCCTCCAAAAATTGTACGATTTCTTCCTCTTTAACGTTTAAAAACGTTGTTTTGTACCAATTAAGAGAATGGTCTTCTTCGTCTTCTTGTTTAAATTTTGTTTCAATATTTTTTTCTAACTTCACAATGACGGTAAGTGTGCTTCAATAGTTTTACTCGCCTTTTAGCTCTTGGCAAGATTTTGGTTACTCCTCTAAGTTTTGTGGCAAGAAATTTTTCGCCTCAAACCATGTAAAGTGGCATAAATTTGCGTAGTCATTGATGCAATCAAGGCTGCTTCGACGATATTCCAAGGTGCTTACAGTTTTTTTGCTGGGATTCAGCAGAAAGAAATGTGAATTATTTTCGTTTCAATGGTGGTTGTTTTATATTAAGAAAATAAATACTTGTTTGCAGACTGTGAGGAGTAAGAAATGATTGGCTACCTGGCTGGCCAATAATCGTCGCTGTAATGAGACTGAATTTCCACTGGTCTGAAATTATGTACCTGAAAAGTAATCATGATCATATTTATTCAAGTGCTTCAAAATATTCGTTTTAATATTTAAATATATTTAAATAATTTGCTAGCTAACAAGCTAATTAGCTGTTGAGAATAAATGCTTATTTACCACTGCCCTGTTTATGAGATAGTTCATCTATCTCTGGTTCAAGGTCATTTACCTTTGGATTTTTAATTCCACTATACCCCCTTCCTCCATGGCTTTACATTTTTATTACTAGCTTACAATAGACTTTTACTCATCTCTTGATCACCTGATGTGATGAGAAGCAGTTTTCTATCATTATTATAATTATTTCGAATGGCAGGCTTTATTATATTTATCATTAGCTCTTAAACTTTGACTTCAAATTTCCCCATGGGTGGAGGGTACATATGTAGCAGTTAATTAATAGTTGTTCATTAGACGTCTTCTTGCTTTCCAGTTTCTCTGGGTTTCTGTCGTTGTCTTTAGGACTGGACACCGAATCAGGTGGGTCTTCTCCATTTCCTCCTGTAGGTTACATAGGGGGCATGTAGGTTGAGTGTATACTCCTAATCTGTGAAGGTGTTTTGCCAAGCAATCGTGTCCAGTACGTAGTCTAAACTCAGCAATGGCTTCGATTCTTGACCAGTCGACTATGTCGGTGAGTGCCACTGTTCACTGTTTCTCCTTTGTTCGAGCTTTAAATCTGTTGCACACTGTCCACGTCTCCTTTGTTCGAGCTTTAAGTTCGTTGCACCTTGACTGTATACTCCCAATCTTTGAAGGTGTTTTGCCAGGCAATCCGTCCGGTACGTAGTCTAAACTCAGCAACGGCTTCGATTCTTGGCCAAAGTTAAACTCAGCAACGGCTTCGATTCTTGGCCAGTCGGCAACGGCTTCGATTCCTGGCCAGTCGGTTATATCGGAGAGTGCCAACTGTTCGATTCTTAGCCAGTCGGCTATTTCGGAGAGTGCCACTGTCCACTATTTCTCCCTTGTTCGAGCTTTGAGTTCGTTGCACCTTGAGGTCTTGAATTCTCTTCCAGTCGGCTATGTCGGAGAGTGTTCGATTCTTAGCCAGTCGGCTATTTCGGAGAGTGCCACTGTCCACTATTTCTCCCTTGTTTGAGCTTTGAGTTCGTTGAACCTTGAGGTCTGGAATTCTCTCTAGGTTCATTGTGTGGAAAGACATCGACCGGTCCATGCATTGCAAGTGCGTCAGCAAGCCCATTGCCTTTAATGCCACAATGGCCAGAAATCCATTGTAGGACCACTGTTTTGTTTTTCTCTCTCAGCAGTTGATAAGGTTTTCTATATTTATTTATCTCAACTGTTTAGGGTTGCTCTCTGTTTCCAATTGAGTTTATTGCTGACTGTGAATTTCGTATCCAGTCAACATAATTGACCTAGGGCTATCTTAATAGCCTCAATTTCTCTTTCGAAAGCTGATCCATTGTGTCCCGCAGCTGCGTAGAAAGAAAAGTGTTCAGAGTAGACACCTGCACCAATTTTTGCTTGGTTTTCTATGTATGACCCATCAATGAAGACTTGGAGCCATTGATCTGCAGGATAGTTGACATTGATAGTCTAAAGGGCCAGTGAGCGCATTTGTTCTGGAGGGGTATTTGCTTTCCTGAGGTGGTCAAGCAGTGTTTACTATCATAATGACACGAGAAACTCCCTTTATTCTCATTTTTAGTGATATTTTAGAATGCTTTCAATAATTAAACACACCGATTCCCTTTGTCATCCACATTCACAAACTCAGGAGGATTCTAAGCTGGGTGAAAACAATTATAATTAGGTCATAAGGTCAGGTCATCAAAAGACATGTTTTTCTTAAATTCCCAACTTTTGGTAGACAGGTTTGGGGGACTCGAGAGTCAAGGATTTACGTTTGCCTGCCTGGGGTGTGCGATAGACTTACCTCCACGCGGTGCACCCTGGGCAACGTATACCCATACGGCAAAAAAGTCTATTTATCGACAGTTGACCTCTGACCCCACTGTATGTCATATTCGACTACTTCCACAGTACTCACCTCTTCTTTTTCTACCTTTTCAACCTTCGTCTTTGAAACGCCCTTCTGTCCCACCCCCCCCCTCCCTCTTCACATTTTTTCACTTTGGTGTTCCTTCCCCTCTGTGAAGCCTGAAGTCAACTAAAAGGCTAATGATAACCATCAAAACGCCTGTCATTTGATATAAATAAATGTTTGTTTGCCTTAATTGAAGGCAAATAAGTTTATTCAAATTGTTTGGATATCACGCTGGTGCTTGCAAAAAGCAGTGAGTGCATGAGATATTTTTTCCTGTATTGACTGAAATTGCTTTCAATTCAATTGTCGTGGGAATGCCTGCTTTTGTCTACTTCAATAACCGCAGATCCGACGTTTATTCATCCGTGACGATTGTAAACTGCTTCTTGCTGTTCATTTTTTGATTTCACCGGTTTTCCAATTCATTCCTTCAAATCTACCCCGTATCGATTATTGCTAACAAATTTCAAATATCCGTTATTTTCTCTTGATTGTATGATGATAAAAAATCTATCCCATCTCCAAATTCTCAGCTTCTGGAAGTATGCCAACCAGCTTCGTCAAGGCATTTGTATCCGCCCACACTGTTCCAAATTGGACAATATATCAATCTATGACAGGTCATCTATGGAGAATACCTAGTGAAGTCGCCTGAAATGCTGTTGGCTTCATTTGAAGGGAATGGAGAAAGTACTTTTATTGACCAAATCAACCTCAGTCTATCGTACTGAATCACAAATATTTATAACAAATGGCAGGCATTTTGATAATTATCATTAGCCCTTTGGTTGAATTCGGGCTTCACAGAGGGGAAGAGGAACATCAAAGTGTGAAGAATTCGGGAGGGGAAATAGAAGAGTGATTCACAGATGCAAAAGAAACATACAGACACAAGGGCTCAGAAAGGATAAGATGAGTACTTTGAAAGGGGTCGAATATGACATACAGTGTGGGTGATGGCAGTTTGAAGTGAGAAGTCAACTGTCGGTTTATAAACTTTTTTGCCGCATGAGTATACGTTGCCCAAGGTGCACCACGTAGAGGCAAGTCTATCCCACACCCCGATTTACAAATATGAGGTGACAAACATCGTTGACGTCAGAGGTCGAACCCGTGGGAAAAGTTGCTCTTCATGTTCCAAATGCACAGACATTGTGCCAGTATAATGCAATGAGATTTAATATTGTTTTAAAAACTAGTTTTTATTGATACAATTGGTTACTCTGTCTTCTGAACTTTCGCCATTGATAAGAAGACATGTGACCTTTAACCTTGCAAATTTTCAGATTGAACAAACATTTGTTTATGCTCTAGCTTCAAATCAACTAGGATTTAAAAGTATCTAATCAATCAATATGGTTTTTGGCATTCAATAACTGTCTTCAATTGTCTTATTTCTCATACGAGAATACGTTCAATTCCCCTCCCCTCCCCCCCCCCCCCCCTCACTCCCAAGTTCGATAAGCAAGAAGTAATAATTTTAACATATATATCTGTTTTGTTACTTATTTACTTATTAGTAGCGTTGGTATAAATTAAATTCCATAACATATGTCTAAGTTTTTAGGCAGCACACGGGAGGAATAAATAGTTTCGTTATGTTAAGGCAAGAATATAGCAATAGTACATGTTTTTTAGAGGTCAAAATCTTTAAAAATATCTGAAACTCTATCTCCCGAAGCCATTATCTTACGTTCAGTCTTAGTCTTTGATTCACTTATAGAGTAATTTGTAAACCTCGAATCTGAGTGATCTTTCATTAGAGATGAAAAGAACGCCTCATGGTCGATATCTTCCTCTTTTCGATCAGAACTCACCTCATATTCGAAGACTCCAACGTTCAGATCTTGATTTTGGGTATTATAGACATTAGAAGGTGGAAACGGGGAAAAGGGGGCTTGTGGATACATTTGGCACTCCTGAAACGGATAACGAAAGGAACAGGGTGGCAAATATTGGGACATGCAGTTGTATGCTGGAATTGGGGATATTAGTTGGGAGAAGTGCTGTTCAGCTATTTTAGTCTTGATGCCTTCACGATCCAAGTTATCACCAGACGGCTTAGCTTGAATTGACGAGTGGGGCTTCTCGACGCTGTTCGATTCTGTGGGCATCTGACCAAACAAACTAGGCGGATCTCCCAGGAGACCAATCTGTTGTTTAGACAGCGACGGTGGTGGAATGTACTCTTGTTGTTGTTGTTGTTCAGAACATACACCATGCATCCACAAGTTCATACATGATCCAGGAAAATATCCTGGATTTAAACCAGGCTGTAAAGTATGATAGGGATATGGATGACACCCGGGGCAAAAGTGTGGACAAATGGGAAAATAGCCATTGGGATATACCCATGGCATGGAGCCAACATTGCCTGGAATTGAGAGTTGAGGACTCGGATCAATTTTGACAGGGGGATTTACTTTTGAAATTGGTACAAATCTGGGTAGATTGCTATCTAATTTGACGACGGTGTGTTTGCTTTGAGGTTTATTTGCCTTAACGCCATGGGAGGCACACTTAATTCCGCTATCTTTCAGCAAACATAATTCGGAATTAGATATTTCTGAACTTGGGTTACTTTTCTGGTTATAGTTTGGAGGCTCCATGGCTTTAATTTCGACTTTCTTACTTCCAATGGTTAGAAAGTGCATATTAATAAGACGGTTTACAGTTTTTTCGTCTTCGAAACCGACAAAAGCAAAACCACGATGTTTCTGTTTGACAGAATCTATCAGCAGATTAACATCTGTAACGCGTCCAAACTTTTCAAAATAGGCTTTTATCGAGACGGCGTCTTGTTCCATACCTATTCCACCGACAAATATCTTCAAATTCCGACGATTACGGCCTTTCATATTGACATTGCACTGTTGCGTGTCAATCTCTTTGTCATCCAACCAATGTGGTTTAGTGGTCAGAACCCGATTTACAGACTTTTGATCCCGAAATTTGACATAGCCAAACCCTCTTGATCTTCCTGTTCTGTTGTCAATCATGACAGAGGCATCCTCGACTTCACCGTAACGAGAAAAGTAGACTCGTAAACTAATATCGCTGGTAGTTTGTGAAAGGCCGCCCACAAACAATTTTCCAATTTCGTTACCTTCAAGATCTGTCATGCTACTTGAAGTTGTCTTAAATGACTTTCAGCTGGGAATTATTGCATTATCGATCGATAATGTTAAGTGGCATGAAGCGAGACTTGCCTTTTCATTTTTTTGGGAATATTTTGGAGATTTTGCTTTTCAATTTCAGTAGATTTTACACAAATGCTTGCTAACTTACCTGTTTACAGTAAGTAGTTTATTGATTTCTTCAATTTGAGGACAACACGATAAAGTACGTCAAAAAAAGTATAAATTTTGAAACTGGATCATAATCTTATCTATATTTACTCGTTGCATTTTAGAGCAAATCAGAGCTTGCCAATATTTTTCACTTTAGTTGACTTCAGGCTTCACAGATGGTAGGAACATCAAAGAGAAAAAGTCGAGGGGGGAGGAAGGAACAGAAGAGTGTTTGAGAAATGTAAAAGAGACAGACATAAAGGTAAAAAAATGGTGAGGTGAGTACTGTGGAAGTAGTCAAATGTGACATACAGTGGGGCGATGGTAGTTTGAAGTCAGAAGTCAACTGCCAGTAAATAGACTTTTTTTGCCATATGAGTATACGTTGCCCAGGGAGCACCACGTGGAGGTAAGTCTATCGCACACCCCTTGAAACTGGGTCATAATCTCATCTAGATTTACTCGTTACATTTTAGAGCAAATCGGAGCTTGCCAATATTTTTCACTCTATTTAAATTTTCCATCTTCGTAAGTACTCAATATCATACGCCATTATAAGGATATTTTTGTGCCTGGACCCTATAGCACAGACTGCCCAAATAACCCTTGACTAAACCTCAGCATAATTCTCCAACAAAATGCATTTGTAAGAGTTTGGTTATCAAATTGGGTAATCTAAATTAACAGTGTGGGGTAAATAGTGATTTTTCTGGGAGATTTTCCGTAGCTGGTCGGCTGTGAGGTCACTGAACTCACGACCACAATCTTGTCATCCAGACTGATCAGGGGGGCATGGAATCTCCTTGTTTAGCCATGCTACTGCTGCCAATTAATATGATCACAAACCCTCGATAATTATTTGTCTTGTCCATTTGTGAAGGAAAGGTTTCCTTAGCGAGCGGGAGAAACTTCGGATTATGATATGCAAAATGATGGGTTTAGTAGGGGCAGCAGTATTCCCGGGGGGTGAGGACTAGAATGGAAGAGGGAAATTGTGTATGGTATCTTTCGAGAAGGATCGGGCAGGAGTGCTGACGGGGTACATATTATCGAGTTGTTCGGACGCATCAAGTGGGGGGGGGGAAGGGGTTACATCAAGGAGGTCAAATTTGAGGCACAGAATTAGTGTTCACAAAAAGTGAATAGTCGCCATTAGTAGGTGGCGTTTCAGGCTACCTACTTCCTTGTTTGGAGTAATCATACATTCATAGTTTCTTCTTTCGATGTCTGCTCCACACTGCACCATGACATAACGTTGGCTTCAAGTCGTTTGAAAGTATTCAGTTATCTCGAATGTGTTTTTTTGCTGTGCTTGGTGATTTGAAGTATAATAGATGCTGTTGTTATAGATTAAGTAATGTTGACGTCTTCCCCATGATAGAAGCTGATGTTTAGGGCTCCTGCATTGGATGGCTGATTTGGGCAGATTTTGCCGGGCCAATGCCACATGCACTTTTCTCGTGTCTTGAGGGAGGATATAACATGTTCTGTCGGAGAGTCGTGATTACGCCCATATACAGGATTGGAGACATCAGCGAGGTCTAGTATCGAATTCCACCATTGGGTTACTCATTCCAAAGGACTGTTGGTAATTAGGATCAAGGGAGTCTGCCATGTTCAAATCTCGCCTTTTGGTGATTCAAACAACAGAGCGGTGTTGAGGAAATGGTGGTTAGTCGCTAGAGAGTTGAGTGTGTCTGTGGCAGTAGCAGAGCTGATTTCAATCTTTCACGAAATACGTTGATGCTTGACAAGGACATTCGGTTTCGTGGGATAAAAAGGCTGAGAATTTGAGCTTCCATAGCATGAGCACAAGGCTGGACGTAGAGTTCTTGAATCCTGTTGACTACTTCATCTAATTCGTCGAGGCCGGCTCTGTGAGTGCTGCTAACTAGGCATGCTGCCATATTCAATAGAAGGCACTTGACCTTTAACTATCTCGAAATCAGTCCTTCTACCATGATCCTGATGGCGATTGATATCACCTCTCTTGTGAGTGCCATAACAGGAGTCGTCTGGTGGCTTGTCGACGATGTCAAACGACTGTGTAGTACCATTATTTTGTAGGTTAGAAGAGGCATGTTGAAACATTGTTCTTTGTAGAGGTGGTCAATTCATCTGGAAGTTAGAGAGGGCAGAAGGAGTAGTTTGACGAAGAGAGCTGTTTTGAGAAGGAAATGAAGCAGTAAATGTATTGGACAAAGCAACGATTGAGCTAGGAGGAGAAAGATTAAGTCAAGATTGGCAGATAATATCTTAAATAGTAAGTCGTATCAAATTATTGAAAAGCTACAATAAATAGGTGGCAAGATTTGGCTCATTACGACCCGCACTTAAATTAATTATTATCTATTTCCTTCCATTACTTTAATTAGTTTTGGGCTGTGCGATAGACTTACCACCATGTGGTGCACCCTGTGCAACGTTTACACATACAGCAAAAAAGTCTATTAACCGTTAGTTTACTTCGGACTTCTAACTACCGTGACCCATTCTATGTCATATTCGACCGCTTTCACAGTGCTCACCTTACCTTTTTCTCCACCTTTGTGTCTGCCTCTTCTGTTACCCCTCTCCACTTTTCGTGACTTTAATATTCCTCTATAAATGAAAGACGTACCTCCAGCTATTTACAGTGATTGAAAAATCTGATGAAAAGTAAAATCTATTACACATAATTTTGTTGTCTTTTTGCCAATTTTTTTTATTTTTTCCAAATTAATTTGTATTTTTATAAGGTAAAGCCGGATAATTATTTATGCTTCAAGAGTAACCTATAATTTCGACCATTTTAGACAATCCACCTGATTTCACCTACCATTTAGAGTTTTGAAATATTTCCTTTCAATTGCCATAGAAATTGAAATCTTTGTAGGCAAATTTAGAAAATGATTCAATTAAATCAATTTATTGAATAAATAACTGCAAAAATACCAAATCATTATTATTGCGCAAATATGTTGTTGGTCATATTAAGTCAGTTCAAACATCAAGGGAACCAACTTCAAATTGAAACTTAGGTTTAATTTATTTAAAGAAACCATTTAATTAAGTTAACTTGAGAATTTGTAGTGAAATGACATTTCGAAGTTGACATATCTCTTTTTATGATATGGGTAGATATTATCGCAAGGATGTTTAAATCTAACCCAAGATGTAAAAAAACAGAAGCTAGTTGGATCCGGAAATTTTACAAAATCTTTATATGGATTGGAAGTAAAATGCGTTTACTCCTATTAGAATTGTATTACCGGTCATATAGGCCTGTTTGCATTAAAATTTATGAAGAAACATGACATATATTTCCATAAAAATTTCTTGGACTTCTAAATTTTAATAAAAAAATGTTTATGGTAAAATTGTGTCAAAAATCCTCGGAAAGCTTGAACACTCCTCTGTAATACTGAATGACTGCTCATTTATCCCTAATTTCTATCAATTTCCAAGCCTCAACTGCCAACTTAGACCATTTCATTTTCCCTTGAATGGTTTGTAATCTACATTACACGTCTAAGTTACCCAACTTGCTATATATTATTTTAAATCGTCCTGGTCATAGTAAGAACATCTGATTAAGTTTATGCCTATTGATTTCCTAACTCTTTCGAGAAGCTGTTCACTCTTTATTACCAGCAGTATAAAGTCTAAACCTTTATAACAAAAGGGAAACCACGTATTCGGTAAATGAATTAAGCAGGCAAGTTCCTACTATTTTTACGTTGGTAGTGCTTGACATGAAAACTGACTAATAACGTCTAGCGAAAGAGCTTTAAGCATAAAGACAATAAAAAATAGCATATATAATAATACGGGCCCCATCATTTCTCAGTACGTGATCGAATGATATTAATAAATAACTTGCTTATCGAAATAAAATACAATTCGAATTGATTTCTTTTATAAAAATAATTTAGTTTTGTCAGCTGAAAAATGTATTTGTCAACGAATGGATGTAAAATATAGATTTACCTAGGCCAATTTAGCCTACTTCTCAATCACTTTAGCCTCGGGGTACATTTAGGTTGTACAGATGGCACTCAGTGCAGTGAAAACAACCTTAGAAAGGGTCTTAGATAAGGATCTGTCGGATTTAGTTAGAGGAATAAGGGCTCACAAAGATAATGAGGTATAGCTGCGATTTTTTGTTACCAAATTTAGGCGAAATACATTAATGAATGCATTGACGAAATAAAAAATGAGATAAAGACAGGAAATATATCATCCAAAGCAAATGCTATTAACAAACTAACTTATGTAAGGCATTCTATTTACCTTATTTTAAGCTCCAAATGCTTGGATATGATATGTCCTGGGCTGCATTTAATGTTATCGAAGTCATGAGCAGCTCAAAGTTTTCTTTTAAGGTATACCATTTCCATTTACTTTTATTTCTCAGAGAATTGGTTATTTAGCTGCTTCACAATCGTTCGGTGAACAAACAGACGTTCTTATGCTTGCGACTAATCTTATTAGAAAAGTGAGCTTGGATTTTTCATGATATTAATGACTATTTTTAGGATTTAAATAGTGGAAAACTTTATGATACCAGCGTTGCTCTTTCTGGATTTTCATGTTTTGTGACCACTGATTTGGCTAAGGATTTATGTGATGATATTTTAGCTCTAGTAATTTAATTGTCCTCCTTAAATAACTTCTTCAATTCAGACCATGTCTCCCAAGCCCTACATTGCCAAGAAAGCAATCCTCTTGTTGTACAAAATTTTCTTAAAAAATCCCGACGCCTTGAGAGCAGCTTTTCCGCGCTTGAAAAAGAAGTTAGAAGACCCTGATCCTGGCGTTCAATCTGCTGCTGTAAATGTTATATGCGAATTAGCTCGCAAAAATCCACAAAATTATCTCTCTCTGTCACCTATATTTTTCAATCTCATGACAACCTCGACCAATAATTGGGTGCTTATTAAGATTATTAAATTGGTAGGTTTGTACTCTTGAGTTATTAATTTGCCTTAACAGTTTGGAGCTCTTACACCGCTTGAACCTCGTTTGGGCAAGAAATTGATCGAACCTCTGACAAACCTTATTCATAAGTAAGTTTGATTTCATTCTTGTATTTATGTACGTTTTTTTTCTTCTGTCCGCTCTTTTCTCTCTTTTTATTGTCATGGTTATTAGTTGGCTATATCACAGCGTGACATCTCAAAATCCGGTCTTATTCCAAGAGCCTAACCTATATCCCATCAAAATTTGTTTCCCAAATTTTTTTATCCATTTGATTTATTCATTATTTATAACTTTTTCCTCTAATCTTTTATTTGAGTTAGTTAATGCTTGGATCTAATTTTTACACGAACAGTCAGATCTCGACACCTTTATTTTTGTGTTGCCTGAGAGGGATCAGAAAGTTTGAGCTGATTAATCTAATTATGTTCATGCCGATAAGCTTAAAGCAGGTCTAATCTTAATTAAGGCTACTTTCGAAGCCTAACGGCTTTTTTTGTGAGTGAGAACATCCAGTGTTGGGTTGACACGTGTTGTTGTAGTTAATTCAGGGAAATCGGAGAGATGAATCCACTTCGATCCGGACAGTGAGGAACGCGGGTAATTAGGTGAGATAATACTGATTACCGATTTCAAATTCTTTGTTCATTAACATTTCGTTTAGACTCGTGTGTCAGCGCGCAATGCATGCACAAATTGGTTCCTACCTTTTTTAGATTTTTCACTAAATAATCGAATTTTAAATAGGTCTCTCTCTAACGCCATACTTGTGAATGAAGACTTTGGTTCAATGCTTACTATTGAAGTTTCTCGGTTTTCGTTAATTGTTTTAATATTTTTCCAAAATTCTTAACGAAATTGTCACTTGGCTTAACTCTGTCTTCTTTCTCAATGACGGTATCGGGGCTATTTTGGGTAAATTTTGGTAGGCAGAACTGCATTTGATTTCGCCCTGGTCACTCTCCGGACTCTATATCGTCTTTTCCCACCCACCTCCTGGTTGTTTGGAGGGGTTAATTGAGCCCAAAAGGCAAGGACTGAGTGATCGGAAGGAGGGGGGTGGGGATTTAGGCACTGTGTGCGTGTTTGTAAGAGAGGGATTTGGCAGTCAGGGTGAGTGGGTATTCACTTGTTTATTAAGGGTAAAGAATAAGTGCTCATAAGTGGAGGATTTTCGTTTGAGTAGATTGTTCTGTTTATACGAAACATGATATGTGGTTGGTAATACTACTATCTCCAAAGGTGTTTAAATGCAAGCCTGAAAATGCAATAATCGGGTTGAAATTTCATGCTTTTCGTCAGATTGCTTCTCAAATATTTGTCTAGAGATATCAAATCCGTACTCCTTGAGAATGGCCACTTTTTGAAGCCAACTTTTGGTCTAACTTTCTCTCGAATTGGGGGGGGGAGGTAATTGTGTGTGACTTTTTGACCATTATTGAAGCATAAAATATGCTTTCTTTTTGAGGTAAATAATTTCTTAAATGTGCCTTCTACTGTTAAAGAAAAATTACCTTTTAATATTGGCTTTGCTTGGCATATATATATATATATGCGTAGTATTTACCCACTTATTGATCTGAAATATATAGCAACTGTGAGAATATGATTTATTTAAGACCTAAAGTATCCTTTCAGCTAGTGTCCACGTGCTCTTATTTCACACATTCTTCCTGCATCTTAAGGCATGTAGTTAAATTCTCTTCCTCGTTAGATTAAACTGAAGTTCCCCCTCCCCCCCCCCACCCCACCCCCACCCAATGCTTCCTCTCTTCTTCAATTCTTGTTATAGGAGAAGGCGGGGGTGGGGGTGGGGGGGGGGGAGAGACTTTTGATGGGTGTAAGCATTTTCAATTAGCTAAAGTACCTAATTACTCACTTCTTCCTTGCTCCAGTGTTTTGCACTTCATCGTCTATATCCATATCTGGGGGGGGGGTTGGTGTAGTACTCAAAGCTACATGGACGCGCCTCCTCAATCTCATTTATTTAAGAAAGTATTTTTCCGCCAACCATAGTGGCTAACCCAAGTAGTACCTTGTTAGTGGCCTCCCTGTGAGAAACATGAGTCCTGCCACCGTGTGGGCGTGGTGGGGGGGGGGGGGGGT